CCCCCCCCCCCCCCCCCCCCCAAAAAAAAAAAAACGATTGAAAAGCTAGGAAGAACAACATACGACAAGTACAATCAACAAAATCATATGTGAGGAGGAACTATTGCCAAATTCGAGAAACAACAACACCGGGGGGGGTAGGTTTGGCGATGCTCCCCCCCCCACCCTCGGGCACAACCAGAACCATACGCGATACGAATACTTCCCTCGGAACTCCGCCAGATCCCGGCCATCATCAGTAGTCGCGCAGCCCAACAATCGCTTCTAAAATGCCGACCACACCACCACCAACGATGAAGAATCCTAAGAACAAACGAGACCTCCATAAACAGAAAACGAAAACAAACGAAGCAATCGGAGAAGAGACAGGAGTAGTGACCACAAAAAAAGCACGTAATCAGCTACGATGCCACACGTTTCCCTGGCATCTCGCTTCGAAGTCTTCGAAGCAAATACGTTGATCAGACAATATGTCTCTCCAAACAAGGTAAACAATAACATACGAAGTGGTACCGCAATGCGAGAGTCGTCGCACCCCCTACAGAACACGCCCCCAATCAAGAGACTGGCAAACCTAAGAACTTGCCTGGGAATTAAAGAACATGTGCTCAGCTAAGAATCCTACACCACATACTACATGGTCACTGTTGGATTACGTCCAAAGCGGAAATAAGAAACGAGCCCAGACAAAGCAAGAGTGTATATCCTTGGGCGGCGGCGCCTTCCTTCCGTAGACCGTCCTTCATAGCTCGATTTTCTCCACAGTCGCAGGGTAACCCCAACGCCGAAAAATAGGCGGGTCCTGGAAACATCTCATGTCGAGAGGTTTCATTGCAGACACCGGTGGGGTCGGGTTTTCACACCCTCTTGATTGTGGGTCAATCGATCCCTTGGACGTCGATTTGCGGCCTTTGTGTGAGATCGCTCGTGTCTCCTAGGGCAAAACATCCAGAGAAGGGCTCGAGAACCGCTCCGGTTCAGACAACAGAACCAACGCGAAAAGGACACGACAGAACAGATTATACTGGCATACAAGAAAACCATATGAAGTCTTGAGTAAACCGACAGCAACGCACACAAACGTACTTCCTCCCACCGACCGCTGCTACCGCTATAGTAACCGCCTGCCGCAAAACCGCCGCCGCCGCCGCCGCCGCCGGACCCACGGCGGCCGCTCGGCACAAATGCATGCTGAAATACTGGCACAGAACTGTTGAGACCAATCACCCCAAAACGATCGGACGACAGTGCCCAAGAGCGTCCGAGACGAACAACACAGAGCTCTTGCCGCCCCCACCCCCACACGCGGTTGGTTAAAAGAAACGTTTTTTCTTTCCCTTGACCACCACTCGTTCCCGGCCCCTCCGAAGTAAAAACAAACAAACACCCCCTGCCTGCCTGCACGAGAAAATGGCAGCTGTACTGGGGGCATAGGAAGCGAGGTGATCAGGCGGGAAGTGACAACGATAAGATAGATAGACTAGAAAGACATTTTTGAGCCACCTTGGGCAAAGTAGGAACGAACGGTTGACCATCGGTGATCGGTCCTGTGGGAATAATGCTCCGTCCTCTCGAGGACGCGTGATAAATAGTCTAACCGCTAGGGCAAGCAACACATAAGAGTACGCCCCCTGCCCGCCTGCCCGCCGCAAATGTGCGTGGTTGTTTCCTTCCGCCTCACCAGGCGCAAATTAATATACCGAGAAACCCGCCAGAATATCACGGAACACCACTCCTCCTCACCAGGCGCAACCACGGAATAGAAACCTCCCAGAATACCGCACACACCTACACGGAACACACTCCTCCTCCCCCCTCCTCCTCACCCCTCTCCCTCCTCCCCTTCGGACGCTGATGCCGCTTGCGCCAGCATGTTTAGGCCGTGCACCGCGTCTCCCTCCTCCGCCATCTTACCCGTCGATCCCGCGGCCCCGGCGGCTGCGCCGCCGCGCCCCACCCCTCTTCCCTCAGCCCAACTCCTTCCGCGGTCGCCGCCGCCGTAGCCGTAGCCGCCGCTTGCCCCGAAGCCGGGGGGACGCCAGCCGGCGGACAAGCTCGTCTGGACCTCGGGCTCCCTAGCAGACGGACGCCCATCGTACGGAGACCCCCAGCGGGCGTATTGGTGCCCGCTGGCCGGCGCTGCCTGCTGCTGCTGCTGCTGCTGCTGCTGCTGCTGCTGCTGCTGCAGCAGGTGCTGCTGGTACAGGTGGGGGTGATGGGCGCTTCCCCCACCGGCATGAGCTAGATGGTTATGGGTGGCATGTGGGGATCGCGGAGAGGCGGGCGGGTAGCGAGGATGTTTATAACTCCTCAAGACCAATATGATCTTGTCGATGCGGCGTTGAGGTATTGGATCGTGTGACGGGTTCAATCGGACCATGAAACTGCTGTGCTATTGTGGGACCAAAACAGAAACAGACAGACGTGATTGATGGCTGTACTTGCAAGAGCTTGGTGTTGATCACACCCATCATGTTCTTCCAGAAGATCGTTTGCCTCTGTTTGCTTCTCGTCTAGACGATACAGCGCCTTCGCCGCGTAAAAGCGTGAGACAAGAACTCACCCTGACCGACGTGCTGCTGTTGCTGGAGCAACCACTGCTGATGCTGCTGTTGCTGCTGTTCGAAGGCTGCCTGTTGGCTGTACTCTGCGTGCCAACGGTTGAAGCACTGCTCAGGAGTCTTCCCGCCGCCAACCGCTGCAGCCACCTGTTCGTCGTTGCATGGAGCGTTGTTGTGTTGCTGTGCTACTATACGCTGCTTAGCTGCCATGGTGGTGTTTTCTCAGCACCACTACCATCATCATCATCATCATCATCAGCAGCAGCAGCAGCAGCAGCCTGCTTAGCTGCCACGGTGGTACTTTCTCAGCACCATCATCATCATCATCGTCAGCAGCAGCAGCATCACGACAATACTCCGAGCATTGGTATCATCGCCAGCACCAACAAAGCACAACATGATTCGCTGCCCTTCGACATGGAGATAATGAGGGACATGACGACCCTAGACACATCGGGTGGTGGTGGTGTATGTACTAGTCTATCTCTTCCCATTATTTTGCCTCTCATCAAGATACGCCTCTTTCTGGTGGAAGAGCATTGAGGAAGTCGAATAATTTCACATTGCTACTTCATGGTTATACGGAGTGTGATGCGGGAAGGACTACCCCCGCTCCCCGACTCCACAGGAGGGGCCGATACCAAGGTTGTCGATCGAGTCGAACAGCTTGGTGACCAGCTTGATATGCCCAGCCCGGTTTTCCTACTGAAGAAGTGTCTTGTGTTCCGTACTGTAGAGGGATGCGGTTCTTGGTGCGGATCGGCGACACCGTATCGGCCGGGGTCTTGGCACAGCAGGGGGTTTTGAAACAATTTGGGTTGGTTCAACGTGATTGAAGGAACCCTTATGTGACTCTGAACACGTTTTTTGCCGAACGGTCGTCAACACACAACGGGAGCCTGTCCCCTCGTTGCTGCATCATCCTTTGCCGCGATAAGTGTGTCGCACGCATGTAAGGTTTTGGAGCAATTGCCTTCAAAGACCCGGTTCTCGAGGAGGAGGCAAATACAAATGGGTCAGATCAACTCAGTCACGTTGGTTGTCGCACAGGTATCGTTCACTCCGCACAGGGCGGCTGTGTGTGTGCGAAAGACCGCAATAATACCTTCGGTGTGGCTATGCGATACCACGGCAGGGCTTGCATCACTGGCTCAACCGCTGTACTTTGGAGCCGTGACTTTAATCGTATGCGCAAGTGAGGTATTTTTTGGTATTTCTAGAAACAGCCTTGATGTTCAATGTCGTTATTAGGATAGGTCTTAACGAAGAAATCAAGTCACGATTCATGGAGAGAACAATTCAATATAAAAAAAAAAAGTTGGGTCTGTCCACTTTCGAATTGAAGTGACCCTGTGTGCCTTCACAACACCGCATATCTCTACCACAGTGGAAACGGATCTCTGCAGCCCACCGCGAACAACCCGAAAGTTCGGCCGCTTGCCAATTGCTGTGGTTGTGACGTGGCCATACCAAATGAAGAGCTACCCCTCTTGAGAAGCGCACACCATTCGCGTACATGGGCCCTGCGTTGTACTCACACGATGTCTGTGCATGTGAGATTCTGAATCGAGCCTTATCCAACCGAAGCCACGAATTGATGTTCGACAACCCACGGGAACATTGATTACCCCGCAGACGGTTGTTTTCAGCGCCAGTCACGTGCAACGACGATGCGCAGTCACCCTTGGTTGGGTTGGTTTCGTTCTCCGTTCTATCTCTCTCTCTACTCGCTCGGTGGTGTGCGACAGAGGACGGGAGTTTGCGTGGGGAGGGGTGTGTTCGTGGGTCTGCGAACATTGGTGTTGGATACATGTGCTGGATGATTTGGTGTCACGCAGACTGGCAAGGTTGCCGTTTGGTAGAGGGCACCGCGATGATGCACGGGGCCCCTCCTTGCTGTGGGAGCCGCTCTTTGAGCACTCCCTCTTTCGTCCGTGTGAAGGACGGTCGTCTACCTCTCGTGAAGTTAATTCATCACCTAAACAGTCTCACCCGATAAATAAGTGGCGTAGGCCGCAAACACTCTTAGAGAGTTACTGCCCCCCGTTGGAAGCCACATTGGGATGAGCTCTGCTGGAGACGAAGAGCGCACTGCTGCGAGCGGAGAAGAAATTCGCCCGCCGGTGCAGGAGGGCAGCGATGCGGAGCTTACGAGTTTGCAACTGCAGGTTTCGCGATTGGCGGCCCTGGTGGAGGAATCGGTGAAGAAGAAGGAGCCTGGCAGCGTCGTGGCGGATGCAGCCAGTAGGGGCGGCTGGGTTGCTGCCCATGAAGGCCAACAAGAGCCCCTTCAGCCGCACGGCGGAGGCGGGGGATTTCTCCAGCAGCAAGCGATTGATGGTGGGCAAGGACCACGGCGGCTGCTGGAAGGCGGCTGGGCCAGCAGATCGGGAGAGAACCCTGTGGGACCAGCCGGAGTGGGCCTGGGCATAGGACCGGACTACGGGGAAGCGAGGGGGTTAAACCCCCCAGGTGAGATACCCGTGATTCGAGGAAATGGAGAATACCTCGACGGCGACAGCAGTAGCCACCAGAAAAGAGTGACGGTCAATGCCCCGCTTCTAGACGGAAAAAGCCGTAGCCACGGATTTGATTCATGGCGAAAATCGTTCATCCAAGTTGCGTAATACCATCGACTTGGACGGGTAATTTATAGGAGATGCAGAGAGCAATATCCCCGTGGGCGACCCAAACTTGCCGACTTCCGAACTGCTCCGTAGGGGGCACACGAGAGCAGAAGTCCAACGAGGGCTTCAGGCGTTACATTTTATCACTACTGCTGTGGTAAAAGAAGCTGACAAAGCAATTATCAGCAACTGTACGTCAGCGAAAGAGGTCCTTGCGGAATTGGAAAAGGTCTACGATCCGGAGTCACAGGGGTCAAAACAGGCCTTGATGCGGAAGATGTTCGACTTTGCAATCCCCACACACAGCAACAGCAACCCCATCGAGCACCTCTACTCTCTCGAGCTGCTGTATGCCCGCCTGCGCGAAAAGGGGCTCAATGCTGAACAACCCTTCGTTCTCGCCCACTTCGTTGGTTCCCTCCCACCCGAGTACCAACAAGCGAAGTCCCCATTGGAGACAGCAACGGCGCTGGATAGGGCCGAGATCGTCAGGATCGTGAGCACGGTGCACGCGAGCCTCCCGGAGGGAAGGAAGGCCTCGAAGGGCCAGCGTAGGGCGGAGCATGCTCTCCTCGCGAGTGACGGTGGCGGCGGGGGAGGAGCGCCGGGCCGCGGCAACAGCGGCCGCCGCAAGGGTGGCGGCGGCGGCGGCGGCAACCAGAAGGGGAGAGGGGGTGGCGCGAAGGCTGGAGGCGGCAGCGGAGGCGGCGACGACGATGCGGGTAGCATGCGCGGTCGCTGTTTCCGGTGCGGCAAGAAGGGCCACCAGGTGGCCGACTGCACCGAGAGCAAGCCCGTGCGATGCGAGACATGCAAGGGCTACGGGCATGACAAGAGCAAGTACCCGACCGAGGGCGAAGTGCTCGTGGTNACGGTGCACGCGAGCCTCCCGGAGAGGAGGAAGGCCTCGAAGGGCCAGCGTAGGGCGAAGCATGCTCTCCTCGCGAGCGACGGTAGCGGTAGAGGAGGAGCGTCGGGCCGCGGCAACGGCGGCCGCCGCAAGGGTGGCGGCGGCGGCGGTGGCGACGACGATGTGGGTAGCATGCGCGGTCGCTGTTTCCGGTGCGGCAAGAAGGGCCACCAGGTGGCCGACTGCACCGAGAGCAAGCCCGTGCGATGCGAGACATGCAAGGGCTACGGGCATGACAAGAGCAAGTACCCGACCGAGGGCGAAGTGCTCGTGGTGAAGTGCCGGCGGGGGGGGCGTCTGCGAACGCCACAGCACTGGACGTGGCAGAAGAGGCGCTGGTGGTCGGTGGCATCTCAGGCGAGTGTCACAAAGTCGTTGGTCGAGGGGGGGTAGAGCAGGCTAGACGGGGTAGGTATGTTGCCGATACCGTCGCTACCACCCACATGTTCGAGAACTCAGATGGGTTCGTTCGTTAAGAAGAGTGTGATCGACGTGTGCGCGTCGCCGCCGGAGAAACCTTCTTCCCCATCATGGGGTACGGCGACGTGACGGTAACCCTTCGCTCGCGCGACGGCACAANTTCGTTACGAAGAGTGTGATCGACGTGTGCGCGTCGCCGCCGGAGAAACCTTCTTCCCCATCATGGGGTACGGCGACGTGACGGTAACCCTTCGCTCGCGCGACGGCACAACCGACCTGTTGCTGAAACGGGTTGCACACGTTCCCCGACTGGATTACAACGTAGTATCTCTCACTCCCTCTTCGACGATGGGTTCGAAACCAAAACCCTCAATAAACACGACTTGGAATTGGAGAGAGGGGGGGGGAGTCGGTGTACTTCCCCCGATGCGGTAACCTGTACGTCCAAAATGGTTTGTGCACACACACCGAACATGCCTATGCCTCAATTGCTCCTGGCAACGCGAAAGCGCCCAGCGCCCCCGTTGACATCAACGATTTCCACTGCGCGCACGGCCACTCCCACGAGGTGCTGCTGAGGACCACGGCGAAGCAGCAAGGGACGACGCTGGTGGGCGAGCTCCGGGAGTGCCTGGGGTGCTCGACGGCGAAGGGGCTTTCCAAGCCCATCCCCAACAAAACGTCGACCCGAGCAGTTAAGAAACTGCAGCGAGTTTTCGTGGATTTGAGTGGAAAAGCTAGGGTGCAGAGCTTGGGGGGAAAGTGGTACACTCTCATTGTCAAGGATGATTACACAAGGTGGAACCGTGTCTATTTCCTGAAGCACAAATCAGACGCAGCTGAGGCATTCGAGAGGTACCTTGCAGAAAACCGGGCAGACGGTGCCCCGTCCGATGTCATGGTCGTGAGCTCTGACAACGGAGGAGATTTTTTTGAGGGAGAGTTCGCAGGGTGTGCCGGAAGAACTGCATCAAACAGGAGTTCACCCCCGGACACAGCCCAGTATACAACAGTGTAGCTGAGAGAGCACTGGGTCTGATCAAGGATGCAGCACTAGCCGCCCGTATCCAAGCGCCAACTCTTTACCCCGGAGCACCGAACTACCCATCCCTTTGGGCCGAGGCCATAGCTTGGTCATGCAACGCCCTGAACTGCACCTCCACCACATCCAACCCAGAGAATAATTCGCCGTACGAGATGTGGCACGGGCACCCTCCCCCGCCGGGGGCGACGTACCCGTTCCTCAAACCTGCCGTATACAAGGTCAAGCGCATGCACAAGTCCGAGCCGAAAGCCCAAAAGTGTTTTTACCTCGGCCCTGGAATCGACACCAACCGTGGTTGCATCTTGAACGAGAAACGCCAAGCGATCACAACTCGCAACTTCACCTTGCAATCCGTACCCGCTGCTCCCCCCGCCCTGCCCCAGTCGCTGCCTCCCATCGCAGAGGAGGAAGAGGAATTCGCGACTGAGGAGGACGAGGTTGGGGAGGGCGCGTCGAACCAAGGTGGAGGGAGGGCGGAGAGAGAACCTGTGGATGGAGGACCAGGTTTCAACCTTGACACGACGGCAGCCCCGGGGCCCGCAGGGCCGCCCGCGCAGGTAGCGCCGGCGGCGGCGCCGGCCGATCCCCAGGAGTCGGGCGCGGGCGACGCTGGCGATGGCGCCCCCTCGAGCAGGGAGGGCGCGAGCGTCGCCCCATCTACCACGTCGGCCGGCATGGCCGATGTGGGCGGCGGCGAGGACGATCGCCGCAGCAGCAGCCGACGCGGTAGCGACGGCAGCGGCAGCGACAGCGGCAGCGACAACGGCAGCAACAGCGGCAGCAACAGCGGCAGCAACAGCGGCAGCAGCAGCGGCAGCGGCAGCGACAGCGACAGCGACAGCGAGACGGATCTTCCGGCGCTCCGTGGGCCAGAGGCCCGGCGGCTCGCCCGCTTCGACAAGCCGGCGGAACTAACCAGCCGCCGCACCAGGGAGAACCCTCGCCGAAACCCGAGGTACGAGTCGCCCCCGTCGCCGACAAGTGCCGACGCCCTGCGCGCCTCGGCAGCGAGCCTGCCCGTCAGCAGCACGGAGGAGTTCACCAGCTGGATGCTCTCGGCGGTTAATTCACGTAGCGGAAGGGCTAGAGGCGAGGGCGGTGAGAGTTGCTGTTCGAGCGCGCGGAAGAGGCCCACGCTGCGCGCCAAGAGGCGGAGGACTTCCTACTGGGTGCGGTGGACCTCATGCTCAACTCGCCAGACGCCTTCGAGACGGCTCTGGCGTCCCACGAGCTAAGTGAATTCCCCATAGGACCGAAGCGAGATGACGCGAAGGGAGGGGAGTCGCCGGTGAGGGAGGCCATCGGCAGCATGATGTGGGTGTCAACGTTCTCGCGTCCAGACGTCACGTTCGCCGTGCGTGCGATAGCACGCCACGCCCACGCCCCGGCGAAGAGGCACTGGGATGCCATCCAGAAGATTCTTGGCTACTTCAAAGGGACCTCGGCATCACCTACCAACGGGGATCGGGGTTAGGGCTGGCCGTGTACGTAAACGCTAGCTACGCCGACACGGAGGATAAGCGTTCGGTGTCAGGGTTGGCGANTGTCCGAGCGCGCGCAGGAGGCCCACGCTGCGCGCCAAGAGGCGGAGGATTTCCTGCTGGGTACGGTGGACCTCATGCTCAACTCGCCAGACGCCTTCGAGACGGCTCTGGCGTCCCACGAGCTAAGTGAATTCCCCATAGGACCGAAGCGAGATGACGCGAAGGGAGGGGAGTGGCCGATGAATGAGGCCATCGGCAGTGTCACCGGCCTCGCGCCCAGACGTCTCGTTCGCTGTGCGTGCGGTAGCGCGCCACGCTCACGCCCCGGCGAAGAGGCACTGGGATGCCATACAGAAGATCCTCGGCTACCTGAAAGGGACGAGGGACCTCGGCATCACCTACCAACGGGG